AAGAATAGTTGAAAGATTGGGGCCTCTGGGGGCTCAGTTGGTTAAGGATCCAACTTCAGCTCAAGTCATGTTCTCATGGTTTGTGAGCTCAAGCCCCACATTGGGCTCTCTGCTGTCAGCATGGAGCCTGCTTTGGATCCTCTGTCACCGTCTTTCTCTGCCCCTCCCCTGCTCACACTCTCTCTATTTTCTCTCGAAAATAAATAAACATTAAAAAACAAAAAAGAATAGTTTGAAGAACTTGGGCTCATACTCAGGACCACTATTCTCCCAGGGACACTCTACCTAGATGACCTAGAAACCTTGGAGGTTTGTAATCATTTTGATTTCTGACACAATGCACCAGAATCTTCCAAAGGCTGAGGAATCTGTTAATGTAATCCCAGTGATTACATTTTAGTTTACTACTTAAATATCTACTACTTAATGCTTACAATAATCATACTATTTGAAGTGAGCTTTCAAATTTGCTTAACTGTATCAAATTTCCTTAATAATTCTTACAAATCAAACTTTTTTAATAGTATGGATTTTAATCTTTGTGAAGCTTAGGATGATTTAGATGTAAGATTTTATTCTTTATCTTAAGTGTGACTTTTAAAGTTTCTAGAAGTCCTCAGTGTAAGAGCAATTTATATGTAATAGACAACGAAGAGAACAAGGCCATCACTGAAGTTGCTTTGTCAATACTAATTGATGGTATAATTTTATGCCTTAATCTTTTACATAAGAGATAATTTTTGTCAAAAGTCTTCTTTAAATTGTTTAATGATAACACTTTAGTTATTAAGGTACAACCATGTAATTATCTATGCAAGTCATGTTTTGTTTTATATTTGTCTTTATTCTTATAAGAAAGTTGGAATTTGAAATTTAAAGGTATGTGTATATCATATCAGTCAATAATAACTACTTAATTTTTTAAACAGCTTTACTGACATATAATTTACATATCATACAATTCACCTATTTAAAGTTAAAATCCAATGGTTTTTAGTATATTTACAGAGTTGTGAAACCATTATCAGAGTCTAATTTAAAAATATTTCATCACCCCAGAAAGAAACCCCTTGCCCATTAGCAGGTAGTCCCAATTTTCTCTCCCCCACCAGCCCTAGACAACCACCAATCTACTTTCTATCTCTCTAGATTTGCCTATTCTAGATATTTCATATAAATGGAATCATACAATTTGTAGTCTTTTGTGACTTTATTCTTTTACATAACAATGTTTTCAAGGTTCATCCATGTTGTGGAATGTCATTTCTTCATTCCTTTTTGTGGCTGAATAATATTTCACTGTATGGATATACCACATTTTCATCATTTGTGTTGTTTCCATTTTTTACTATTGAAAATAATGTTATTATGAACATTCATGTACAGCTTTTGTGTGAACATAAGCTTTCATTTCTCTTGAGTATATACCTAGGAGTGGACTTGCTGGGGCATATGGTAACTCCGTGTTTAACATTTTGAGAAACTATCAAACTGTTTTCCATACTGGCTCTACCATTTTACACACTTATCAACAATATATGAGTGTTTCAGTTTTTCCACATCTTTGCCAACACTTATTGTTGGTTACTATAGCCATCCTAGTGAGTATGAAGTCCTGTGTCATTATGGTTTTGATCCTCATTTCCCTAATGATTGATACTCAGTGTCTTTTCATTTGCTTATTGGCCATTTGTAGTTCTTTACAGAAATGTTGATTTCTTTAAATATTGGATTCTTTGCCTAATTTTTAATTGGGTTATCTATCTATCTATCTATACACACACAATACACACATATGATTTCTCCATATATATATATATATATATCTCCATCTCTCTCTATATATAAGGTTATTTATATATATATATAACAAAATATATACATATGTTTATTTGAGAGAGACAGAGCATGAGCAGGGGAGGGACAGAGAGAGAG